CATATATATATGTAATTTATGTAATATATGTTATAAGTGCATGAAAAGTGTATAGATATCACCAAAATTAAGAAATATCGAGTGCTAAAATATTATTGAGAAAATTTGCACAAATTTAAAGAAAATACTACCGGTTTCTCGCGTGTATATGGTCGCAGGAAATTCAATGCTGTTCTCGGGCGAAAGGAGACCTAAAGACGATATAGTGTTCGAGGCCTTGGGCGCCAACGATGAACTTACGTCCGCTATAGGTGGGTAGACCTGCAGTTATTATTTTCTTGTCAATCAATCGCTTCGGCTATACTCGTGGGATGCCAGTGTGTTCAGGGAATATCCGCGCTTGGATATGTATATGGGGAACTGGCCTTAATTTCGACAGCATGCCATTTTATTTCTGTGTGCCGTACATGTACATGCACACAAACACACTCACATCCTCCTCTCTCCCCCACACGCATTGGCATACATACACACACTAGTACGCACACACGCACACGAACTCGATTATGCTGTTTGCGCTCGTAAACACACAGGCACATGGTTGAGTATCCGCTTGATTATGTAGTCATACACGCATATATCACAAACAGGAGTGGCCCGGGAATATGTACTTGACATTTCTGAGAAACACAATGGCGAAGGAGATGTGGGTAATCTATGTGCGGTGTTGGAAGACATACAGTGTGCACTGCAAGAGGTGTCGTCCTGCATAGCGACGCCCAGGAGCACAGCCTCGGATAAGCGAGTGGAAAAAACCAGGTTTGCACTTGTTTGTTGATGTTTATTCTCAGTCTGGCATTTGACAATTGCTTTGAAATATATTTTTTTCCTTTCGCGTGTTAGGGCTGAGATATAATTTGAGCGGCATTCACTTGGCGACGTTGAGCGAAGGTCGCTTCTATGATTGTGCCCGTGGCGAACCTTTGAACATTGATACACAAGGATAGGTCTGTGCCCAAATGCTTTCAATTGTGCTCGAGGACTTTCTAGAATTACTTTCTGACTAGCCTACGGATGCTCAACAATGCTGCCTGATTGAATTTTCAATAGATTCGACGGGACCAAAGCTGCTTTGCTAGAGGAATGGATAGACGAGATGGATCAGTCACTGCCCCCTCTGACCGCGTTTATACTACCATCTGGTGGCAAGGCAGCCTCTCATCTGCATGTGGCCCGGACCATCTGTAGAAGAGCGGAACGCCGGGTACGTAAGAATCCACATAAAGTTATTGTTGTGTACGTGATCCTCATACCTGCGCACATATACACAATCATGGTATACGGTAAGCTGGTTTTGAATCGATAAAAACTCATTTCGTGACTAACTTTGAATGTCCCTCAGATTGTACCGCTTATGCGAAGTGAAGATGTGGAAATGGAGGCCTATGTGTATATCAATAGACTGAGCGATTTCCTGTTCGCCGCTGCACGTTTCGTAGCCGTGAAAGAGGGCAAAAGGACGGTGGCGTATAAGGCAGGCAGAGGGAAAATTGCGTTGCGATTCTGACGATTTTCGAATATATAGGAAGTCACAACAAGTTTGGAGAGTTAAAAATTCGAGCAGGTGTACAACTATTCTGAGTTTGTGTTAGCTTGACATTGCCTACTATTTTTTTTTAATATAGCTCACGACAAGAATATATTTAGGATTGGGAGTCAAATCGGAGGGAATGCGGCCAGTCTGGTGTCGAACTTTTAAAGCTTGCGACTTCAGACATATCATAAATTATTAATAAAACATGGGTTTCTCCCAGGGTATGTAGAACCGGATGACGAGTAGCGAGTATTCAACTACTTGACTTTTGAATTTTGGGTTCTTTTCGAGTTGAGAATACATTATTTCTTATTAGCAGTCAGTTGTTCGGACTCGTTCCAATCAGGGTGTAGTTTAAATTTTAATGCATTCTTAGACCTTCCTGCATGCACCTAACTAATTAAACAATCTTTTCAAAGATATTCTTCCACCCACCAAACTAACTAAACAATATTTGCAGGTATTCTTACACCTACAAGCTCGGTACCACTGACAGATCTTCTCACGCTTGAGACACACCGGGCCATAGGAACGGCGGTCTTTTGGAAGAACTTTCGAAATCTGATCTACGCTCAGTACAGACTCAAGTGCAAACCCTCGACTATCTTCTTCAATCCTTAATAATAACAATTACTATCAGGACGACTAAAACCAAAATAACAATGATCAGAGCCGACACAGCCACCGCTATACTCGCGACTACCATAGGGTTATCTTTCCACGTCGTTGGTGCTTGTATCGCTGCTATTTCCGCATCCCCGTGGACAAACCCACTAACTGGCCCTGTAATAGGCCCCATTTGATCCGATTTTTTCTGGTCCTGGCCGATGGCGCTGGAATTTACAGATAAGCTTTGTATGCTGTCATCAATCGCACCCATTCTCGGGTGTTGCTTCCACCCGTCTCTGTACATGTACGGTTGTCTGTACCCATACTCATCCAGGCCATAGTCGCCCGACCACCTCCGCCTATCTGGACCCTGTGCATACATGTGCTGTCTGTGCGGATCAAACTCAATAGGCAAACCTCTACGCCTGCACTCTTCGTCATATGCGTACTCGCTCATCGGTCGATCGGGCATAGGGTAGCCCGGAGGTCTCATGGGCTGTTCCTGCGAGTATCCCATGGAATGGACCGACGGTTGCGGGGATTGGTGCCAGTGCGGCAGTCTGTGTGGTGGGTAACCCTGCGGCAGTGTATACATCCGTGCTTCAGATACATCGTTCTGTTCATTGTACACGTTCTTCTGCGATACGAATCCACCTGCTCTCATAGGCATTTGACCTCGCTCACCACCGCTACCGCTACCGGAACTGCCTTCCCCTTCACTTCCCGAATGGCTCACATCCAGTGCACTTCCGCCATACCCAGCGTGGGCATGGTGATGACCGTGTTCAAGCTTACCTTTGTCGTCGTTGTAATTATCGGCGTGCGGGGTGCTCGGACTGGAGACATCCGGACTCTCCGGAATGGGCGAAGGGCTGCGTTGGTTGTCACGTAACCCAGGCATACACCGCTGTGCTGAGTCGTCAACACTTCCACTGCCACTCCCACGGCTTGTATTCCCATCTCTGTCTCGATCCAACGTTGTCGACGACGCCTTGCGATCCAAGGTAGTCTGCGAGGTTCGGTCGGTGCCCACCATCACAAAGTTTCCAGCCGCATCGCGGATATACACCGCATCTGAGTGCATCACAGACCCACCTGAGGGTCTCCGCGTGTTCTGAAACGAGTTTGCCATGGACAACATGTCTACTCTAGAGTTAGCCTTGGGGTCCACAACCCAGCCGGTATTCCCATCCGGATCGGCTGCCAGCTGCACGACAAAGCTCCTCTGTGACTGCAGGGCGTGGGTGTTGGTGGTTGACCTGAAGTTGTAATCCTGTGACCGATTCGCCAGGCTGACTGTTGTATCCTCGACACTCGGCGTTTTGAGGGCTAGATTCTTGGCCTCGTTTTTGCGCTTGACGTGCCTGTACACGTAGTAGCCCACTATACTGCACACAATAATCATGAATATCGCCACTCCCACGGATATACCGATTATAAGCGTAGTATCGCTACCATCATCCCCGCTGGAACCGTTCGCTTCCGCGCTGCTGACCTCTCCATTGGGTTGGGGCTGGTTGATCGGATTGTCAGGATCAGTAGAAAGCGGCGCTGCGTTTCTAATTGCGTACTGTAAGATACCTACTTGTAGGAGGGCTGATTTCGGAACGGTGTCTACGGCGTTTGAGGCGCCGGTGCTGAGTAAAGTCTGCAACAAGCGAAGTGTGAAGGATTGATGAGACAATGTGATGTTTCATAATACGTAGCTCATGATATGACGGCGTATAAAATAGGGGACTCTAGCGCAAGTAAAATAGGAATAGCTGATGGTAATGAGCAAACGGGAAGTTTAGAGTCTATTATTGGGTATAGAATGGACAAGTGTACAATTACAAACGCTAACAGACACGTCAAGCGATCAAAGAGGATAATAAATGATACGGAGTACTCAGGATACGATGATGCAATTGTATATTCTGTGCGTAGTGAATGAATCATTGAGACCTCTGGGATTGGAGGCCAAGCTTGTTGATGCATGCATGCATTTTTGGACATGTTTATGGAATTCCTTAATGCATATAAAGTTCAGTCATTTGTAATAGACTTTCATGGACAATGCTCGACAACGCAGAACAGCATAGAGGTATAGCAGCCGCTATCATAGTAATAGCGTATACACCAGAAATTAACGATAGCTTCACGCTAAGATGTGCACTCATGCATACTGAACATACACTCAGTCTAGTCAATACTGCTGCAAATCCCGCACAACTACGGAAGCTTGAACATTCCACAGGGACGAAGACTGATAGGTCCATCAAAAGCAACCAAACAAACATGAGGTACAGCTTACGCTACTGGACACCCGAGAACCATAATTGATGCTACTTGTCTATATTGTCTTAAGCATACAGAGCCTCAAACAATACTGTGGGGATGTCATCGATAATAACTTGCTACTGCGTTAATGTTTCGAGTATGTAGACTTCGTATCTACCACGAACTCGTATTCAAATACATAGTAAAAAATCAATAGTCATTTTTAAAATGCAAGCTGTTTCCTACATACCATTTTACTACGAACAACTAACACTTGTACATATTTTTTTTTACAAACACACACCCACTAAAACAATATAGAAGGGAGAACATACCTGAAGACTCACACTTCCTGCTTTCACCGATACAATCAGAATCTCCTTCGGCTCGGTGCCTAGTGTGGCGGCCAGATTATTCCTAAATAAGTCACTATTGAACGTGGCCACCTCTCCTTCTACCACCAGCTTGACAGGTATAGTCGGTGCCTGATTGGTACCTTCATTGAGTCCCTTAGGTGGCGGGGAAAAGCGGCTTAACAAGTTCTCCACTGATGGACTGGGACTAGGTTCATTTCTATCTTCTGATTGGCTGGTATCATCTATCGTTTCACCTACAGGATCATCGAGACCCGCAGGCGGTGTCGAGAACCTGGGTGGCTCGTCACTCACATCCTCACTCACACTATCGGATTCACCAGCCTTATCACTTTCGCTCGCCATCTCGCTGTCAAAAAAGCTCTCCTCAGCCTGGTCGGATGCGTCATCCAGTATATCGCGTGAATTGTCATCGATCATATCATCCACGCCCTCCGTCGCGCTCTCATCTGAGCTAAACTCGTCGACAGTCTCCTGAGATAGTTCAGTACTACTCGTCTCCGACAAGAACGGCGTGGCTGTAACTGTAGGTGTCGCGCCAAACGGATCGAATACATCGTCATCCGTCTCACCTACCTGTGAAGGGGTTGCTACGACTGATACTGACGGTGTAATACTAGCAGTTGTCGACGTTGTAGGTATTGCTGTGGGTGAAGGGGTGACTGGGGCAGTGGGCGAGGTCGTGGGCATTGCCGTTGGTGTTGAGATTGCCGTAGGCGACATTGTGGGTATAGCGGACATGGACTGTGAGGGTAGGGAAGTGGGTGAGTTTGTACTGACCGCCGTAGGTGTGGACATCGCTGTAGGAGTGGACATCGCTGTAGGAGTGGACATCGCTGTAGGAGTGGACATACCTGTAGGTGACTGGGTGGGCATTGCTGTAGGTGACTGGGTGGGCATTGCTGTAGGTGAGTTGGTTGGTAGGGCTGTTGGCGAGTGTGTTGCGGCAGCTGTAGGTGTGGAGAATGCGGTAGGGGTCGGTTGCCCAGTAGGCGATGTGGTACCTATGGCTGTGGGTGTGGTTGTGGGTAGACTCGTGGGAGTTGACATGGGAGTGCTTGTGGCCATTGCCGATGGTGATGGCAAGGTAGATGGGGTGGCTATAGCCGTGGGTGAGGGAATGGCGGAGGGCGACGGTGCTAGGGCGGTACCAGATGAACTGGGGAAAGCCACGTCGTTGATCACACCAGGCACAGCTGTATGCGGATAAAGAATGAGTTAATACGAGGTTGAATTTGTGTCGAATTATGCCGACGCTGAAATTGAAGGCATGCGATGGAAAGGTGAGAGTTTATGACAATGCAGACTATACTTGAGATGCTTCCAAGCCGTCGATCAGGGCAGTATTCTTTATTGAATTTGCGTTTAGGTCTCATTTCTGTCTCATTCAGCGGTTCTCTATACACTCCTTTCCCTGGTTCGCACGAGGAAGAGTCTACAGTAGATACACAAACTTGATACAAGGCCGACTATTGATATACAGGTGCCACACGCGGTTTTAGCTATAAATCCACATGATACCGTGTTAGAAGTAATAATGGGTACAGAATGAGTCACCACACGCAGTTGCTTCCTCGCAAATTACACACAGGGGACCGAGCTGGCCAAGCTCAATATTGGGTAAAGAGTACGACTATTTGTAGGTAAAGGTAGACAACCAACACACACATTGTCAATGAGCGCAGCAGATTATACAAACATACACGCGTACCAATGTGGACATATACTATATTGCAAGCGTATCGATTTATACAAGTGAATTACTTTCCGTATGCAACTTGCCAGTTATAAATGAGAACAGACAAATATCTAAGACTTGTACGTAAGGAAGTAGCTGCACTATAAACTACGATCTTGTATGTATGACACTTTCAATGTTATTGCACGATTCGCGTGGGCTGTCACAAATTTAGCTCACATACCATCGCACTGTAGCCCGTCACCACTAAATCCGGCAGCGCACACACATGTGGCAAGAGATTCGTTGTTCTCGGTCAGACCGCTGCTAACACACATAGCGTTTCTTGAACACCCGGTGAGTTCGAGACATGTAGGATACGGATAGGACTCGCATTGAACCTCAGAACTGGGTGCAGCACCACTTGTATACACATTTCGGTTTAGATTGAGCACCATAATCCATTCTGCACTAGACTCCTCAACAACAAATAAATTCCTTGCCTGTGTGCCAGGAGTAATAGATTCGTTCATCTTGATTATGAGTTACCTAGTATGACTCCAGCTAAAAGACGAATTATCATATATATATATATTGATATATTCTCTCAGCTAAGATATAGATTATGTAATATGACTGCTTATATTTTTTCTAGTTGGGTGCTAATTCCGTACAGTATACACAATCGGATGGGCGTAAATGCAACTTACTAATTATGAAGTTATCACGTTAAAACACAAAATGCACACTCGCGTTGCAGGCGCGATAATAGCTCCTAAGCGATAATAGGTTTAGTTTAGTATTTTGAACATTTGTGGATACCTCGAATGTTGCCTTCAGGGAAATTGTCCACGTTCCCACGTCCGGGAAAAACACCGATGTAAAAGGAGCAATTGAAGTTTCCGAGGGGAATGATTGGATCGTATTGCTACCATCCGATTCTGAGCTCTAATAGTTATAAAAGTAGACAAATGTTGGGTACACATATTGAGTCGAGTTTGATATTATGGGTGTCGCTAGGATCACATTTCAAAATGAATGATACATACATAGTGATAATCGGAAAATAATAATACACAACAGGCGCAAAAAATCCGTCAATCTCAATAAATTCAAGGTGAGAATCAGACAACTCGCAATTTTATACATACCATCAGAAACGGTGAGCAGTATCCAATGGCGATGTTGCACATCTGTACTTCGGCATCTACTGAGCCCACAACTTCATGGCCGTTTCGATTGTCAGTAAGCAATTGCCAAACAAATTGCATTGGTTCACCCTACATTGTGTACATTAATCCGGTTAGTTATGAGTAGTGAGAGTTTACTTCAGTTGAGACTATCATACACTCTGCAATGAAGTCTATTTTTGTAAATTTATTACTTACAAATTGTCCTGCTTTGTCATATTCTTGAATCATTATTTATGCTTGACGCTTGACAACCACACGTCTTTCCGCAAGGAATCGCACAAAGGCTAAGCAAATATCGCGGAGCCACACATCGATCACATCTGTGAGTATCGTTCTTACCTCATTGCTCGCTGGCGGTGGAAGCAATAAGTAGTTATATATTGACCAGTCTGGACAAGGGGCAGTCACACCATTTTTCCAGCACGTGGGGCTTTCCACATCTGCAAATTGAGCAAAATCGTAACCACATAAGACAAATAGTAAACTAACTTACGAAGCTGTGCAGCTTCAAACTAGCATATAACTGTACCATATCATGTATATTAATCGAAGGGTGTACAAAGGTACAAATTAGCGGGGGTTCCTGTGCTGAATATGTCTTGGATGGTAGTTCGGTCTCGCAATAGTTTACTTGGTTGAAAAACACCATTACCTGTATAGCAAGATGATCCCAATTCAGCCAGCACAGAAAGCGTGACCAATACGCTCGCACACACTGAAGAAGGCAACATGGTTTATATCTGGATATTTACTACTAACGGCACAAATATATTTCAATTTGATTTCAATTTGATCTAAGTTCACTGCTTCGCGACATAGTGTACAACGCTGTGGCAATTGCTATTCATTTAAGCAAGATAGTTGTTTATTTGGCTGTTGCTGCTGGCGTCGTCGTATATTTGTATTGTTTTACAATTTATAAAAAAAATGACATCCCAGATTTCAGATTTGAAGAGCTGTGTTGCGATAACATTCCCACAAAACGAATCATGCCATATGGTAATGTAATACTGGCCTTCAAAGAAATACAGTTTGTAAATACTGGTGATTTCATAATCCGGTTGTACTTTCTTCTATAGCAAATTCTTTTGCATGGAAATGTAAGAGTACACCATTTACAAATAAATTAAAATAAAGCCTTCTGAAGTTCTGTTCAAGTAGTAGTAGGCTATGGAAATAAAGCTATAAAATAAAAATACATTTGATAGCGTTTAAGCGTCCTAAAAAAGACAAAGAAAAGCATTGAATGTTTTATTTGTGTTTTATCGTAAACCCCCCCCCCCCCCCTCCCAGGGGACAGGGGCCAGAGCCCAGGACCCCTGGCCCCAGTACAATACTGCCAGGCCAGCAGCCTTCCCTAGCGGCTCACTCTCAGAGGAGTCCAAGTCCAACCTCCACACAAGAGGTAACCTCAGCGGCTCAGCCCTCCATCTCCACAGCGGGGCAGGAGTCCGCAAGGCGCAGGACCCACGACTGTCCCACGTCCCGCTGCCTAAATACTAAATAATAGAGAAACCAGAGAGTCAGAATTCAGAAATCAGAATTCAGAAACTCAAGACTCAAGAATTTTTATGTTTTTTTCTAGATATACTCATTTTTCAAAATAAAAACAAATACAAACCCCCCCCCCNCACACACACACACACACG